TCTGGCTTCAGGAGTTTTTTTTTTTTTTTAAAAAAAAAACACTCCAAGGGCTTCTGACAAGTGAACAGAAATAGGAACTGCTGCTGGGGCATGGTGTAATTAGGAACAGGTTTTATGGGAGCCAAGCTGCAGATACAGGCTTTCTAACTTAGCATATAATTCTCTGGAGGATTAAATAAAGCAATACAAATAATGGTCGTCCCAGAGCTTGCAAAGTCAAGCACAGTAGCTCTTCAGTTCATGCTCATCCCAGCTGTCCTGGGCCTTGGCGCTTTATCTTTGCTCTCTTGCTCCCATCTTTCTCTGGTTAGTGTCCGTCCTTCCCAGGGACCACTATCCTCTCAACGCACTTCCACGGTGATAGCCTATGACCGCTGTGTGGTCGCCGGCTCCAGCTGTTGCCTGCATGTTGGCTCCCCCGCATTCCAGAGCCCTTCTGCCTCACCTCCTGACCCTCTATCACCAAGGAGAAGGGGCTGATCATCACTGCCTTCCTCCCCTGGCCCGCTGAGGCACTCTCTGCAAGGCCTCTGACTCTGCTGGCTAGGGCAGTCTTTTCTGTATCTGCCCTTTCTCCTCAGTGAGGTCTCTATTGGGAAGGACAGGATGGCTGTGAACAGGAGTTGTGAGGACTCAGAGAGTACCCTCTGTCAGTCAAAGACCCAAGGGTCAAGCCTTTCAGAGATCAGGTGGAAAGTGAGTGACTCTGAGATACGCTGGTACTGTGAGTCCTGACTCGTCAGTTATGGTTGCCCACAGGTGTGGACTTTCGATAGAAGAGTGGGGCAGTGGAAACAGGTACAGAAATGGGAGGGGCAAACAGTCTAGGCCCAGCTCTATTCTGGATAGAGTGATTTTTACAAGTGCAGCAATTACTTTTTGTTAACCTGTAGCAAGGACTATGTTGGACCGGTGGTAATTTGAACAAGAACAGCTCCCATATGTTTGAATGTTTGGTGCTTAAGTGGTGGAACTATTTGGGAAAGATTAGGAGGTGTAGCCCTGTTGGAAGAGTCATTGGGGGTGAGTTCTGAGGTTCCGAATGCCCACCCTGTTCTCTCTGTCTCTGTCTCTCTCTCTCTCTCTCTGTCTCTCTCTCTCTCTCTCTCTCTCTCTCTCTCTCTCTCTCTCTCTCTCTCGGCTGCAGATCAGATATGAACTCTCAGCCACTGCTCTACTGCCTTGCCTGCTGCCATCCTCCCTGCCATGATGGTCATGGATTCTAATCATCTGGAACCGTGAGTCACCAATCAAATGCTTTCTTTTATGAGTTGCCTTGCCCCTGATGTTTCTATCAGGGTAAGAGAAACATAACTGAGATCTCCCCAGGACTTTATATGCACCGACACATGTGTGAGTGGCTGCCTCCACTGCAGCTTCTGTGAAATCAGGCCTAGACACTGAGTTCTGGGGGTCACACAGGCCTGGTCACCCGTATGTCCTCCTTCCTGGACAGCCAGAGCAAACCAAAGCAGTTGCTCACCCCACCCCATGGCTAGCCTCCTTTTCCAGTGGCGTGTCCTCTCCTCGGTGTGTTCCCTAACACCTGGTGGATGACAACTGAGTGCATCCTTGTGTAACTCTGAAGGACATCCCATGGCCCAGCAGATCTGCCTCTCTCCAAGGAAATTGTAAAACAATACATCATGAAGCAAGAAAATTGTACCCTTTTGCTATGGAAGTGGGGCATTACATTGCCATTCCTTAAATGGCAATTTTTAGAGTTTAATACTTGGGATGTTAACACAGGAGGATTTAATTCAATTGTGGCTAATAAAATTGTGAGTGGCAGGGGTCTCTTGTGGCACCTTACCCTGACATAGGTCTGGGGTGTTTTTCTTAAGAAGATGGCTATAGAATTCAGAGTACAAATGCGTGCAGGTCCACCGAGAAATAGAACCAACACTATCAAGATTTTATTTTTTCAGAGTCTTTAGTCCAAGATTGGTTTAAAACTTTATTTGTAGCTGATGATGATTTTGAACTCCTGATGGGGTCACAGACATATGCCGCTGTATTTATCCTATGCAGTGCTGGGGATCGAACCCAGGGCTGTGTGCATGCTATCCAAGCCCTGGAACAGCTTAGCACTTTGCCCAGCTCCACCATGGCTTTTTCAATCAAGAAATCAAACTGCTCTCTCCTGCAGTTTCTGGAACCTTGTTGTACCACAAGATGGCAGTACAGCATCAACCTTTTAAATCAATGACAGGCTCCTGGCCCTTGTTTTGAGCCTCCCCAAAATGTTTGCAGGACTCTCACAAATAGATCCTGTTCTGCAATTGGCTCTGTGTGATTTCCTCTTAGTTAGACAACCTGATTTCCTCTCCTCAAACGTTGAGGTGTTGCAGGTGCCCACAGCTCAGTCAGTAAGGAGGGTGAGAAATGAGGCTGCACCGTCTGTTTTTCTATTAACTTTCCCACCTCTGTTTACAGCACTACCAGGTGGCCTTTACTACACAGCAAAACCAAAAAGTCCCGCAGCAAGTGACTTCAACAAGCTTTGGCTTCCTGGTGGCGTTAATCACATTAGATTTTATTTACTTTGATCTTCAGGGCACACAACAACCACATTGCCTACCCTCAGATAGTTGATAAGTCTTAACACTTTTTAAATGTTAAGGACAGGCCTATATAGCTTACAGTGGTATCTGGGCAATCACCCTGTCCTTTGTCTGATGCGCATGGGCCTAGAAGGGTCCTTTACTTTTCCTGCCCTCTCAATCAACTTTGGGTATCATTTGGGTGTTGACAACTTTTGTTTCATGTCTCGGCTTTCAAAGCCCAGGGGTTCAGTGCCAGCCCTGAATGCAGTCAGTCTGCTGATCACAGCAGCAGGCCTTTTCCACGGAACGTCCCCAGAGTGGAAGCAGTGCTTTTTCTTGATTCACAAGTTTGTTAAGTTGTGCACACTTAATGGCCATCTTGTAAAAGTTATCACTTATGGCATTTTATGATTATATATGGAAAATGAACGAGCTAAGAGCTTCAAAGTATGACAACTCCCCAAAGTCATAGTTGAAAATCATCACCAAGAACACCATTATGTCAGAAAAATCAGCAAGTTAACCGATAACGTTTAGCTCTTTTCCTTTCTACAGATGATAAAGCCCTGGCCCCAACTTTGACCTTATTACTGAATTTGCAGAGTTCATGGCCAGTTTACACACACACAGCCCCCAAGTCAATAAGTGAGATGGGAGTGCATTTAGGAACCTAGGCCACAAAACAGCAATTATTTAACAAATAAAACTGCTGGCAAGGTGCCCAATTTTTTAAAATAAGATGGGCATGGCAGCTGAAGCTTGTATTTACATTACATGTCTAATTTAAAAAATCCAGTTAACACAAATAGTGACTTTGGAAGGGAATAGAAAATTAAAAAATAAAACACCCATACTTCTTCAGTGAAGGTCGATAAAATAAGCAGTCTTCTTCTTATGCATTCAGAATTTAGTCACTAAAGGAAAACCAAACTGCTAAGAAGGGCACCCAGGGCCCCTCCCCATCCACAAGGCTGGACTCCAGTTATTAGCAGGGTAGCTGCCAGTTTATCTTGATTGACAGGTTAATAGGGGACCTGGGGCTGTCTTTTCAATATGAACATATAACCTTACCAATTACTTTTAAATTATTGCTAATCTTCCAGAAATTAAAAAAGCCTACAGAAGAAAATTATCTGAAAAATATCTGCTGAAGAAGCATTTCCTGCAAGGGGTTTGAAAGGTCCAGTTCAGAAAATTTACCAGCATTTAGTCAATAGAATTTACTGAGGATTTTTTTTTTAAAAAGAAAAACTTGTAGTTTATAATAGTTCATTGGTTCAATTAGGAGTGAAAAAGAAGGGAGTTTTGTAATGCAATTGTCCAGCAAAGGAAACCGCTTTAAATTGGGGGATTATGTGCACAGACCACCTGTGGGGTATTCAGAGCCTTTTCCACAATGCACAACCCAGGCCTAGCTGCCTGCGGGCTGGCTAACAAAGCCCTGGAAAGCTGCTGAAAAGGCTGCGCGCACTTGCGCCTCTGGTCTTCACTAACTGTTACAAGTCTTCGTCTCCTCTCTCCCTCTCCTTTTTAAAGTAAAAGTCCCACATCCCTTTAATGGAAAAGCGGTAAGGCTCTGCGGTGGCCAATTGGTCTGCACCAAGAGGAGCCAGGCAGCAGGGAAAGAAACTTCAGACTACACAGCACATTCGAGAGGAGAAAAGATCAAAGTTTTTCAAACTCAAAAGACCAAGTTCCCTACAGATTAACCCTATTCATTTAGCTCCTCTTAAAGGAATGATGTGCGGAGCCACTGGGCAGACAGGTAAAAAGTTCAACAATTGCCAGCACATTCTTCTGCTGATTCAACAGCCTTCTGTTCAAATAAATTAGCTTAGTCTTGACAGAGGAACAATAGCTTTTTTCTCCAGGAAAAGCAGCACACTTGGAACACACAAGCACGGAGCGCTATTAAGAAGTTAACCCATTCGTTTAATCTGTTAGCTGGCACCTGCCCTGCTACACCAGATTGTGAAGTGACTTACAGAGTAGAGGTGACCCGTGGCTTCAAATACTAACCTCCAAATTTTAGAGTGTGGCCAGGTCTGTAAAAGGTCAGGACTTTCAAAAATCACAGACTGGAGACATTTACATAGGGCTGCTGTTTCAAATTAAGCGACATTATACCAGCCAAATAAACAGGCTGGGTGGAATGGCAGCCTTTGCAAACTGTCCATCCACTCACACCACACATGCCAAGGTGAGCTGTCACTCACAGGTCAGCAAAGAGAGACCATGAAAAACACCATCTTTGGGGGAAGGTGCAAAAACGCGATTCTGATTTCAAATCAACAATGACATTTACTTTGCTAACAGTTGAAGAACTAGAGATTAACAGGTAATTGTGTCCATGCCTAAAGTCAGTGCACAGAAGGGCAAGCCAGAAAATGTCCATTTTCCCACATGTCCTCGGCAAGCATAAGGGGGACAGTTCAGAAGACTCGGGGGACAGGGTGGTATTTAAATCATTTATCAAAAGTCATTTTATTGACAAAATAGAATACTTATATTTGTTCTTACAGGGGAAGCCTCTAAACTTTTTACAGATAATGTACACGTTGTATATCTTTGGATATATACATATTTTACACTTTTTCTTTTCTTTTTTTTTACAATTTAACAAATAATTATATAAATACATCCTCTAATGTAAGAAACCCGTATTTACTTGGGGTGTATAATTAAGACATCTCTTGTTTATTTAAGGCATCTGCCTGGTCATTAAGAATACCCAAACCGTGCAATCCTACAAGGTAGCAGTCGTCCCTCCTCCAGGGTGTGAGGAGTGAATTTATGCAGGCGGGGTTGAGGGTGAAGCGGTCCCTCGGGTGAAGTCTGCAGCTTGACCTCAAGGCTCAGCCAGGGTACCCAGGAGGTTTCCAACTCTCCTAGCAGACTGAAACCATTGCCTGGGGGAGGCGCTCCGGAGCGTCGGAGGGGAGGGGCTGGGTCTGGGAGGCTTCAATGCCAGGTACTTTGTTCTAAGGGAGTCATTTAAGTCCCAGCGGCTAATGGATACCATTAAGAGTTCATTATCATGCTAATAGCAATCAACACGGTGAAGGGGTGGGAACCCCGGCCTGTCTGGGGTCCCTAAGCCGCCCTCGGGCTCCCCCATCCCCCACCCCTCTCCGCCCCTTCTGGGCGTCCGCTCAGGGTTCAGACCTGGGACAATGGCATCTGTTTAGGGTAAGACATGGAGCTGGCCGTGCCAGATCGCCACGTCAGGCCGGTGCTGACGTCGCTGTAGAGAGATCCCCCGCCTCCGCCGGGTCCCCCACCCCCGCCTGGCCCGGGGCCGCCGCCCCCCGGGCCGCTGCCTCCGGCCCCCGCGCCTACTGCTGCGCCTTTGCTAGCCCAGCAGCAGCGGGTGCACAGCGCGCGCCAGGACTCCAGAGTCTTGCCGGACCAGACCCATACGCCCGACGTGATGCCAACCACCAGACACATGAAGTACTTGAGCATGAAGACCGCGTAATCCGGCCTGCGCGCCTGGTCAGGCTGCAGGTCCCTAAGGCATGGGCAGTTGTGAGTGGCCTCCCAGCGAGGACGGTTGTGCTGCTCATAGAAAAGGCAGGCGACAACGACGGCGGCGGGCACCGTGTAGAGCACGGTGAAGAGGCCCAGGCGGATCATGAGCTTCTCTAGCTTGTGCGTCTTGGTTGGGCCTCCTTGCTGCTTGATGACCGAGCGGATTCGGAATAGGGACACGAAACCAGCCAACAGAAACATGGTGCCAATGAAGAGGTAGATGACCAGCGGCGCTAGCACGAAGCCGCGCAGGTTGTCGAGGCTCTGGTTTCCCACGTAGCAGATGCCCGCCACCGGGTCGCCGTCCACGGAGCTGAGCGCCAGCACCGCGATGGACTTGACGCTGGGCACTAGCCACGCGGCCAGGTGGAAGTACTGTGAGTAGCCCGCGATGGCCTCGTTGCCCCACTTCATGCCAGCCGCCAGGAACCACGTGAGCGACAGGATTACCCACCAGATGGAGCTGGCCATACCGAAGAAATAAACAAGGAGGAAGACCACGGTGCACAGCGCGGGGCCGGTGGTCTCATAGCGCACGTGCTGCTCCACGGCTCCCAGCTCCTCGTACTCGCCGCGCGCGCCCGGGCCGCTCGCCCCCGCTCCCGCCGCCCCCGCGCCAGCAGCAGCGGCGCCGCCAGCACCCCCAGCTCCTCCCGCACCCGGAGCGCCACCGCTGCAGGCCACTTTCTCGTGCCCTGCCACCAGGCGCACCAGGTAGCCGACCGATACGAAGAGGTAGCAGGCGGAGAGGAAGATGATGGGCCGTTCCGGGTACTTGAAGCGCTCCATATCGATGAGGAAGGTGGAGACTGTGGCGAAGGTGGAGACGAAGCAGAGCACCGACCACAGGCCGATCCAGAAGACGGTGAAGGCGCGCTCATCCTGACTGAAGAAGGGGTTGTGGCAGGGCAGAGCGCAGTTGGCGATCTGACCCGTCTTGACGCGGTTGTAGAGCGGGTGGCGTTCGTTCGACACGCTCACCATCGGCGCGCGGCACTGGCACCCAGGCTCGCAAGGAGCGGCGCCACCACTAGGGGGCCTCGCCTTCCCGCCGCGCGAGGGGGGCACAGCCGCCGTGTCCCCGCCGCCCCTGCCGCCGCCGCCGCCACGGTGTGGGGGCCTGGCCCCTGGCGGACGGCCGTGGCCGCTGCCTGAGGGCGGCTGCTCGCCGGGCGGCGGCGGCGGCAGGCGGCGCGGTGGGCTGGGCGCGGCCGTGGTGAGGTCGGTGCGGTTGTAGTCCATGCACAGAGTGTCGGGGTTGCCCTGCTCCGGCAGCCGATCGCAGCGCATGCGGTCAGGCCAAGCGAAGCCGTACTGGCGCATGAGCGGCGCGCAGCCGGCCTTGGCGCGTTCGCACACCGAGCGGCAAGGCGGCAGAGGCTTCTTGTAGTCTTCCAGGCAGATGGGCGTGTACATGCTGCACAGAAAGAACTTGAGGTCGGGGGAGCACTGGATCTCCACCAGGGGCCAGAACTGGTGCACTTCCAGGCCCGCCTCATCTTGTGTGTCGTGGTTGAACTGGTTGGGCATGTAGGTGTAGTTGTAGCCGATGCCCTTGCACAGCGGCACCGTGATCTCTTGGCATGTCAGCTCCTTGGCCGAAGCGGCGGCGGCGCCGCTCGAGCGCTGCAGCAGCGCCAAGGCGGCTAGCAGCGAGGTCACTTCCAACAGGTAACCCCACTCCATGCTGCGCGCCGCGGCCCCACGTCCTCTTCCTCTAGACGGCGCGCAGAAGGGCCCTAGGGGACCCAGAGAGGAATCGGAGGAAAGGGAAAGCAGGCGACCAGCGGGTCTTGTGCTGCTTCTCCCTGAGAAGCCGAGAATCTGCCAACAATCTAGCCCTTTCTGGGCAGCGTTTGTGGCAGCAGGGTCGCAAGCCTAGGCAGAAGTCTTCCGGCCCTCCCCCCGTGCCTCTCCTGGGGCAAGGGTGACCGCAGGCGCGCCACAGTTCCACAGGGTCTGTCCTACGCCCTCCGGGTCGCACTCAGCCCTCCCGGAGCAAAGTGGTGGCCCCTGGGTTCATCGTCCAGAGCTCACGCAGGTCCTCCTGCACGCCCAGCCACTTCGCGTGGCGCCCAGCAGCGAAGGCTCAGAGGGCGGCGCGCAGCAAGTTTCCTTTCGGGCCGCAGTCAAGATGGCTGTGCCTGGCCGCTCGCCTCTGGGGTCACACCTAGCGGCCCCTCTCCGGGCCCCGAGGGTTCATGTCCGTCCCAGGCCCCACCGCCACAGCCAGAGTTCCGGGCCCTCCGCTGATCAGGCCGCCGCCGCCTCCTCACTCCCGCGTCGATCCCAGTCGGTCCTCCTGCATCTGCCGCCAGAGAAAGTCCGTGTCGCGTTTTGGCCACAGTCGGATAGGGTGTGCAGGCTGTGCCTTCTTGCGAGACCAAAAAACAAATACAGAGCGAAAGGCGGAGGGGACACCTGAGGGCCGTGGTCCGCGCCAGCAGCCGCCTCCACCTCCGCAGGAGCTGCTCCCTTCGCCCAACTTCCCGGCTTCGGTCGGCTTGCGCCTCCAGGCCGGCTCATGAATATTTATACAGCCTGTACTTGATCTCCGCCCCCTTCTGGAATCACCAATCACTGGGCGATAGGGCGGAGTCTATGCGCTCTCAAGGTTCTGCCTTCCTTAAGGAAGTCCGTAGTTTGGCGACTGGTTTTCTGGCTTTGGGCGGGTGGAGAGTTTAGTCACCTTGGGACTGACCGCACCAATTGAGCTTTTACCACAGAGCTCTGTGCTTCAGAGATCTTGGTCGCATTTCTCCGAGTCTGTATCTGGGTACTGGGACAGTGTTTTGATAGTGAGTTGCACCTCCCGCGACTCTCCGAACCTGTTAAGATCCAGCTAGTCTCGGTCCATGGACAATACTCGCTGGTTCTGGAGGGCCTTGGAAGCTCAAGGAGGGCTCTAAGGCTGATCCAGACCCGGAGCTGGGGTATTTGGGGAGGGATGCCCTTTTGGAATTCTCATAACAAGGTCTTTTCAGACTTGGAGAATTGGGAATAGTGCGACTTCTGTTGCAGCTAGGTGATCAGGTTTGGTCAAGGGAGTGTTTAGGAGCCCTGCCTCCGTGCAAAGAACTTAAGTGTTCATTGCTGTGTGAGCTGGGGCATCTCAATTCCTTGCTTAGAAAGTGGGAGTGATCAAAACAGATGTCATTGGGGAGGTTGATCTTTGGTTGAGACAAAATATATAAATATATGAAGCACGTGGACTCAGTTCCTCCTTTCAAACACAAACTAATAAGACAGACACACTGACAACTACCACTGCATTCCCACGTCGCTTGCTTGCTACTTTTAAGACCATACGCCACCTATCTAAAAACTTAACTTGTGTTTGCAAGCGCCTCCTTTTCTGCTGTGAGAGGCGGGGCTGCGCCCTAGCGGGGACGCGGGGACCTTACGGCGCTCAACCCCCAGAATCTGAGGAGCTTTCAGCAGCCGCCAGCGCTTTCAGCGTCCACCTTAAGAAGGGAGGGGGGTGTGAGGGGCCAGGGCTTGGCAGGTTCATTTACGCTTGTTAGGACATCCCAGGGGGTTGTCTTTCTCCTAGAATGGAGTGTTTATTTTTTAATTGATGTGCTGTTTCATTTAGCGCTTGTATGGAACTCATGCTGCGGCTGTAATTACTGTAATCTCGGGAATAAGCATTTCAGATAGCCAGGAGGGTGGCGGTGACGGGTTCGCGGGCTCTTCTCTTTCTCTCTCTCTCTCTCTCTCTCTCTCTCTCTCTCTCTCTCCCTCTCTCTCTCTCTTCCACTCTCCTTCTTTCTCCTTCCCTTCCTTCTTCCCCGCCTCTTCCTCTCTTCCCTGTCTTTCTCTTCCCCTCTTCCCCCTTCCTCTTTTTCTTCCTTTCTTTTTTGTTTCAGGATTTTTGCTCTTTGTCCGATTTCATACCAGGAACAAGTGGAAATAGAGAACAAAAGTTTAGCAGGAGTAGAGACAGAGGCAGACTGCAGGTCCATTCGAGGCCATGCAGGTTCTTTGGGGGTGGACTTGTGGTGGTAGAGTGTGTGTGTGTGGGGGGGGGGGGATGGCAGTTATCTATATAAAAACAACCTTGTGGCAAAACAAACTTAGCGACCTTGGTGTATTGTAAGTTAAAGTACTCTGTCTTCCTCTTGTTCTCTGCGGCTCAGAGCAGCAGACTCTAGGAATAGCGCCTTCTGTAGGCTTGCAGAAACATGGCCTCTGCGGTTTCCAGCAGGATTTTGCCCTCAGCATGCAAGACTGCTCGGTTAATAGGTACATCCCACCATCTTTTTTATTTATCATTTTAAAGTTGAAATCTACTTAGCATCTTCACGTAGTGAAAGCACATTGCCTACTCTTGGAAACAAGAACTAAATTCTTCTAGAATCCAGAATTCAAAGTGTCTGCGAAGTTAGCTGATTCAGCAGAAAACGGGCCAGAAGAAAAAGCCAAGCCTTTACTTTGTTATTGTTTACTTTTCAGTAGATCCCTCCCTTCTTTGGAGTTCCAGTACCAGAGTGGAAAGCCACCTAGACCTGCAGTTTCAGGGTGCCCACAGGGTTGCCCCCCACCGTACTGGGCGCAGGCACTACAGGGATCTGGGACCCGGGCTCTGAGAAGGCAGCACCTCTAAAAGACTGCGCAGGCACAGGAAGCCAGGACACCCCCCCCCCCCCCCCCCGCGCAAAGACCGCAGGTGGGAGGAGCCAACTTTCCAAAAGCCACTGGCGACGTTTCTACTGTTTTTCTTCAGCAGAGAAATGTCAAATACTGAAGTTTAGAATTACAGTATATAAATTGAATAGAGTTAGGTAAAACAAACTGACATTTGAAAACCGAGGCTGAAAATCGTTGATTTTGGCTTTCGATTGGCATTTAAATTTTTTTTAGAGACAAAATGAAGCTTGAGGATGTGGAATGTGGAAAGTTTGGGTAAGAATATTAAGTTCACATGAAATAACAAGCAGATAAAAGTTCATACTTTCCAAAACCATGGGCTGATTTGAGACATCAAGCCACATGTAAAAAAAATGAATGGAAATTTACTTTTAATTGAGAAAATACAATAATAGCATTTAACAATATTATTAAAGGGCTACTTAGTATTTCAGAGTAAGAAGAGTAGTGTCTGGAGCCAGGTGAACATATAAGAAGGCAGGCACAATCAGAGAAACCAAAATCATTACACACACGTGTATAAGAAAACAATGATTTTTTAAAAAGTGCAACAGCTGTATTTTAGGGGTAAGGAATAGTTTTAGGAATGACAGAAAATAGAAAGTTTGTGTTCCGTATCCTCCAGCACAGTAACAAATACATTAGCTTTCCACCACCATTGCTGTAGCTGCAGTTTGGGGACAGGGTTTTTAAGTTCCTCAGGTCAATTTCCAGCACTTCAAAACAAAGCACAAAATGTTTCCATTTAATACATACCAGAGACAGGAGACAGCCCACTTACAGAAGAAAGGGTTCTCTTGTCCCATAGTTTTGCAGGTTTCTGTCCAGGGCTGACCCCAAGAATCTGGTGGCGAATCCACATAACACTGCAGGGAGAGTATGGCAGAACCCATCTCACAGTCGAAATACAAAAGACAGAGAAGAAGGGCCCTTAATAAATTCCCTTAAACACATGTTCACATTGAGCCGAGAATCTTTAAGGATGCCAGTTGGGGCATTTTGTATCCCATGATAGCAAAGTTAAAAGGCACACATCTACATCTGGAGAAGAAAGGCTTAGAAAACATGGACCACTCTGGAGACTTCCAAGAGTGTCCGACTGATGTCTAAGCATTTCTGGGGAAAGGATATAAGAATATTGCTCCATGCTGAAGCACTTGCCTAGCCCTCTCAGCATGCCTTGTTCAATCCCTAATGCCATAAAATGAGGGACTGGATGTATATAATTTACTTAGCATGCATGTTGCTCTAGACCCACCAGACCCATAATACTAGACACACTCATGCCTGTAGTCTCAGCGTGGGGGAGGGGAGTCAGAAGACAAGAAATTCAAAATCACTGTCGACTGTGTTACAAGTTGGAGCTCAGGTCTGGCTACAAACAAAACTAAAACAAAACATGAGAAAATCCTGATATAAGAGAGATCTTAAAATATATGAATAAAATGATATATTCCAAAGAGTATATGGAGAGTTATTTTATAGCTAACAAAATTTCTGAGGTTATACCTAACATCATTGTTTTTTTTAAAGCTTAGTTTCCTTCAGAAGAGTGATCAAGAATTATACTGCTAGAGAATATGAAGAGTGAGGTGCCTTGGTATGTTTAAATTCAGTCTTTCTAAGGACATAAGCAGAAGAAAAGTTGGAATGAACTGGTCTTACTTCCACATATGATTAAATGAACAGAGGTGCTGTTATTTGGTCTTCAGTGTGCCCAGACACCTGCACATTAAAGATTTGGACGCTACCATGATGTTACTGACAGGCAGTGGAAGCCTTAGGAGACCGGACCTGGTGAAAGGAGGTTAGGTCCCTGGGGGTGTGGTATTGAGAGGGATATTGAGACCCCAGTGTCGTCTTCTCCTCTCTTTTTGGTACCACTGTGAGGCATTCTGTTCCAGCACATACTCCATGCAGTTCTACGCAGTCTTGCCATATAGGTTCAACCAGTTATGAACTAGAATCTTTGACTCTTAAGTCAAAGTCCATGTGTTGGGGGAGGCCTCACATTCATTTTCTGGCCTCCCAGACCA